GGAGGAGGAAGAGGAGGAGGAAGTGGAAGAGGTGGAGGAGGCGGAGGAGGAAGAGGAGAAGAAGAAGGAGGAGGAGCATGATTATGAGGAGGAGAAGGAGGCAGATGATGATGAAGAGGAAGAGGAGAGTCTTGCAACCCCCCCCCCCATCGTCTCTCAGTCAAACATTCGTGCATTAGTTTGATGTGCGGTAAACAGTCAAACGCTCATCACTGCTAACGAGTGGATATATAGACGAGATATCCCGCCAATGTTTCCATAAGCAAATGAATTTCCGTGCTGGAGTTTAATCATCATTAGCGTAGAGTAGTAACTACCGGCTCGTCACAACTTGTATAATATTAACTTGTGAAACAAAATGATGTCCGTGCATATAATCCGTACAGGCAAATATATCTCAGTGTATGCATATGCGTGTATGTGCGTGTGTGTGGGTGTGTGTGTGTGTGTGCGTGCGTGCGTGCGTGCGTGCGTGCGTGTGTGTGCGCCAGCATCCAATGCACCGCCACGCATAATAACCTTCATCTCTCTCTCTCCCCCTCTCCCCCTCTCCCCCTCTCCCCCTCTCCCTCCGCCGCACAGGTGCGTGTTCGAGGACTGGCGGCCGGGACTAGGAAGTCTCCTGCAGCCGATCCCGTTCCCTGACGAGGCGCTATCGCACGACAAGCTGCTCGCATACCTGCGTGACGTCACGGCCCAGCTGGCGGCCGACCCGCGCTGTGCAGTGCACCTGTCACTGCTCGGAATACGAGAGAACAAGGAAGGATGGTTCCAGCTGTTCTGCCCCGGAGGATTGTGCGCCAACGACGAGGGAGACACCTTCCTAGCCATGGTGAGTGAAGGAGGGAGGGAGGAGGGGGAGAGTGAAGAGGAGGGGAGGGAGGGGTGAAGATGGTTGTAGTTTGGACCAGACATGTACTAGGGTTCCTTCCCGTGAGTGCTCAAACACCTGTGATGCACCTCTCCCTGCCCCTCCCCTTTCTCTCCCCTTCACCCTCCCCTCCTCCCTGCCTCCTCCCCTGTCTCCTCCTCTGCCTCCCTGCCCCTCCCCTTCTCTCCCCACCTCTCTGCCCCTTCCCTCCTCTCCTCCCTGCTTGCCTTCTCCCCTGCATCCGGTGCTGATGAATGCGTGCCTCGCCGAAGCCTCGCTGCTCTCTGGGGTGAGAGCTAAATATAGACACACGTCATTACGCATCATATCTTTCTCTCTCTCTCTCTCTCTCGCTCCTTCTATCTCTCTCTCTCTCTCTCTCTCTCTC